TTATAAATATATATAAGAGATGTGATTTGATGGATTCATTAAGGATTAAGGTTTCTTATTTGACTTATAAAATTTTGAAGACTTGAGTTATTTCAGATTTCTTTCCCTTTCCTTAATTCTTGATCACTCTCACAAAATCATAATAAATGACACTTGGAAAGAGACTATCCCTTCTTTATGTCTAAACTGTGCGATTGCATCTGCATTTCCTTCCTGCTAGATTGACTTGCCATTTTAGTTAGGAAACTAGCTATTTAACTTATGTTTCTTAGATAGTTTTTTTGCTAAAAAAAATTAAATATGTAGGCATTTGCAACATATTTTCTTACATAAATAATATCAAATGTAAATAAAAAATGAAAGAAAAATCTAATTAAATATTAACTCTAATTACCACACATCTAATTAAACAAATTAAGAACTATCTATACCAATAAATGAAAGAAAAATTATTAATAATAACTAAATAACTAAATATGTAAAAGGTTGAAAGGTAAATGTAAATAAAAATATTTGATCTTGCAGTACAGTTCATTTACTCGAAAGTGTTCAATAACTCTATTTATTAAATTTATTCTTTATTTGATCAAATAATAGTAGAAATAAATACACACATAAAATTAATTAAATAATATTTTTTTATTTAATCAAATGATAGTTGAAATAAATACATACATAAAATTGATTGAATAAAATCAAATGGAGAATAATATCTCACAAGGTTGCACTTATTAGATCCAAAAATAAATATTTTTCATCTTTAAAATAAAGTTCAATTATATAAAACATAAAAAAATTATATATGAATTATAATAATCTCTTCAAAAATTAAATACATACAAAAATAATTTTAAAAAAAGGATAAATAAAAAAAATTAGAGATAAAGGGAATTTAATTCAATATAAATTAAAAAAATTATTTAAAAAAACATATTAAAAAAACCGTGATTATTAAAAAAATTAAAAAAAAAATGAAGAGGCTAGGCCAACGCTTGGTCCAATTAGAAATGGCCCACAAGGGGGCTTGCAAGGGCAAGACTATACGAGGTCTTTTTTTTAAAAAAAATCAATAAATTTTTTTTGAAAAAAATAATTGTAAATGACATGTCGTCCACTATTATCAAGATTTCAACTACTGTGGTGATTGGAAAAAAAATCTATGCTTTTTTAACTTAAAAACCGAATTTCAACCAATTTTAACCCAAAACACCTAGAAAAATAGCATAAATAACTTAAACAACAACAACAACACAAAAACCCGTAATAAACCCGAAACAAAAACTATTCTCGAGCTTAAAACTAGTTTATAAAACTATTTTGAGGTAAAAAAACACCTAAGTTGAACTCTCCTCACTAAGCAGAATATTTTGACAAAATATTAATTATTTTGGTGTTTAAAATTGGCATCAATGTTAATTTTCTATCTCTATTACCAGAATATAACTTCTTCTTTCTTTTTTTTTCTTGAATCAAAAATAAAAAAATAAAAAAAATAAATTAAGTTCAAAAAGGTCTTCACTGTCATTCCTGAAGTGGAATATTCAAGTCTTGATTTGGGGTCAGTGTCTTTGAGATGGAGGAGAAATTCTGAAATGGAAGATCTATCTACTTCTGCTGCCACACCAGAGTGGGTTGTGACCAAACATAAACTTCCAGATGTAATAGATCTGCAACCGTTGGTATTGAATCTGGAGTTTCCTCCTTGTGCTGTTCTTGGAGATCCCTTAATGTTCTCGATTAAAATTCGGAATCAAACACGGTTGCTTCAAGAGCTCAAGTTCTCACTAGGAGAAGAACAGGCTTTTGTGTTATCTGGGTCTTACAGCGACACAGTTTATGTTCTTCCAAAATCTGAGCACGCATTGGCTACAAGCTCGTGCTATTGGCTACAGGTCCACAACAATTGCCTCAAGTTACAGTGATCTCGGCAAGATATTCAGCTGCATTTCAACCTTCCAATTGTTAGACAAATACAGTCCTGTTTGCTAGGATGCAGTTGCTAGTAAGTGTATCATTGCTGTCTATGTGAGGATGGTTAGTTGTTGATTGGACCTCATCTGTCTGGAGGCTTGAAGGCAAATCCAGTAAAATTCTACTATCTGGACGAAATCTCTTCTGAGAGATTGAGTTTGGGATCCTCGAGCTTTTCTAACAATGCGCACTCATCCATCCCGGTATGTCATATTTTTATTGTCAATTTGTTAAGGTTAGTACGGATAATGATTTGCATGTTTAGGAAGATTGGTTTCCTGGTAGGAAATTCTTATACTCTAAAGGACATGTTTAAATGGGTAACCTTAGGTATGTGATAAAATTGTTAGACAAATACAGTCCTGTTTGCTAGGTGTGTCAATTTACAGATTTTGCAGCATAGATATGGAAGTTGAAGAATGCATAAATGAAAGGAAAGACATTGGTGCAACTGGGAGATGATAAGGGGTGATTTTCTTCTTCATTTTAACAGTCATCAATGGTTAACTTAATCCATTTGTTTTTCAGCAATTTTATAAAAGGATTTACTCCAATAGAAGAATATAATGTAACCAGGGTTAAAGTAACAGCAAGCTTGTAATAAAAAGCAAACCGTGTCGCAAGGCCTGTCATAATTTTCTTTCTGCCATCTTAACGAAACACCTAGACACATAATTGAAACCTAGGCAGTAGATACCTCGGGCATATACAAATCAAAACACAGAATTTATCATATAATTAAGCAATATCAGATGAAAGATGATGATTGTAAAATATTTTAATCACTGAAAAATCAGTAGTTAAAGGAAGTAATAGCAGTTAAAGATGGTAGTGCATGTTCATTAAATCATCATCATGGTAATTTGATCACAGAAATTATTACGATAAAACATCATCATGTTTTTTCTTGCATACCTAACCAGTACCTAAACAATAAATCAAGAGCAAAAGACACAGTAGATCGAAGGCTGAAAGGC